CCAAAAAACAAAAAACCAAGAAAACAAAACAAAACAAAAAACCAAGAAAACAAACAAAACAAAAAGTATTTGGTTGTCCAGTTGAACAGTTCAACAAACAAATCTTCTGGAAGACAAATCTTAATTGGTATAGATGCCCTACTATGTCAGGAATAAAAACATAGGATGGGGGATGGCGATCTAATTTGAAAAAATGTTGCATGTGTTTGGAAAGGATAAATTAAGATTTTTGGGTGCCAGGTAGGAAAACAATTAAACTGTCACGGTTCCTGCAAAGACCTTTCTCCTTTGAAAACCAAGCCTAAATATTGATGGAGTTTGTATAATTCTCTGCAAACAGAATTTTCCATACTAGTGTAATTCTGAAAAAGCTTTTGAATTTGTAGAGGGAGGAATAAGAGAGTGCATATTTTAGTGGCCTTAACCAAAGATGACTCTGCAGCTCCATTTAGAAAACTTGAGAGACCTTTTTAAACAAAATATTTTAACTCTCTGTCTAGTGTCTGAGTTATTCTGCAGGCCACATCCTTTCCAATACATGACAAAGAGGGTAGGAATGGTAACTCTATTCCTGTTTCATGCATATAGTTACATGCATACAGTTACTTGTTACATGCTTCAGTGTTGACTGGATTTCTGGGGTCCCCCTAAGTTTATCTTGTATTGGGGTTCATCTGTAACACTAGCACATGTAATGCACGTTATATAGAAACATAAATTTATTTTACTTGTTTCCTGTGTTTGAAAATCTCAGATGACTAATTAAACAAGAATTGCCATTTCTCTACCAGTAAGGGCAAATTCTACATGGGAAAACAAGAGGGAAGATAGGACAGAAGTGAGTAAGCAATTTTGATGTAAGGGATTCTCCTGTCCATTGAGGAACTTTCTGTATGGAAGTGACTTTTGAGCATCTCTGAACTGCTTGGCTCACTTGGATAACATTGCAACTCATTAAATCTGAAACAGGATCTTAAATACATCTCTTCTTGATAAACTAACTTAGAGTAAAAGAGATGCAACAAATCTTGAATATGAAATATTTTACCAAGATTTGGAGCTTAAGATACCTCTTTCTGTTCCCAGATATTCTCAGAAGTAACTGAAATTCCCCCTGCCTTTTTCCCCTCAACTAATTAGGCAGACTGGGGGCGGGGCAGGGGGGGATTGTGTCAAGTGCCAGTCCTATAAAAGTCTAGCTGACTTGGAGACACAGTTGTGCATCTTTCAATCATGTACCCTGTCATCAGTAACAGAGATTCAGTAGATCGTTATTATACTTTCAGCAACGCCTTTTCAAGCTTTGAGTTATGCAGATACTGCTTTTTTTTTTTTTTTTTTTAATTGGGAAATTGTTCTCCTGAATCGCAACATAAAGAGCAAATCTAGCTTATGGTTTTAAATATGACCATTTAGGATGGATGGCCAAACTGGTACATTTAGGTCGAGATATATACTACAATGAGCTGAAGAACATGTTATAAGTCAGCCAGTGTTCACTGGTGTAGTGTTGCTTTTTCATGTTCTGTATGTACAGAAACATTACAAGGAAAATTGTTTTAAACGCTATCCTGATAATGAGTTGCTGGATTAGATATCTGCAGGACAACAGTGGTCAGTTTTGTTATGTTTTAAAACTAAGTTGCTGAATGTTATTAAGGAATTGGGAAAAAAAAATAAAACCTGACCTGACAGGAAGGACAGCAGTTACATTTACGCGTTTATAGGACCGTGCATACACATGGAGGGGGGGGGGAAGTGGCTTCCAGTTTGACTGCGTTATGATTGACCTGGGATGATGGCAGCAGATGGAGGGAAATTGCCAGCTTGCTTTATATACCAAAAAGATGAAAAGAAAATCTAGCGATGTTATTGCAGTACTTTATATATGAAAATGTACATACTTTTTCTTGCCATGTATTAGGAGTGTCATTCCTTGTTTGCCTGGAGTACTTCTCAATGGCTCATAACCTCCTTATGAACTCTTTTTCAATCAAATAAAAGGAGAAGATTAAGGAAAAACTCTAATCTCAAATATTCTAGTTAATTATGTAATAAAATACAGTTGAGATGGAGTTTTTACAAGGCTCACTAAAAATTGTTTCTACTTCCATTAAGGCTTTACTTCCTTAAAATGCAAGCTTAGAATTAGCCTCTTTAGTCTTGGGCAGATTTAAGTTATTAAAGCCTGAAATTCTAATACATTTATTTCCATCAGGGATTTCTTTAATTTTACTGGCTTACCATATTCATTAAGCTTCTATGATGATTAAAGAGTAGCAATAAGATACACATTATTAGATAATATAGGCAAAACAACTGCTGAACAAATTGTTGAAATTCAACTGGAACATGTTATAGCAGTAATGTTTATTTCTTTATTACTATGGTAGAACATTTGAACATAAAAATCCAATATTCTAGTGAAAGCAAAGCAATCCTTTCTGAATTAAGAGTAAAATGGGACCTTTGAAAATAACTGAAAATAAATTGTACTGGGAAAAACACGTAAATTGACAAAACTTTTCATTTAATTTTGACTGAAAAGGCTTTCTGTAATGTAGGAGTTGAGAAAAGGACACTCCAGAGCCAAGGGATTAGTAATTGTTAGAGCCCTGTTTGGTAAAGGGAAGAGCATTAAAAATGATGCAAGCAGAGAGGGAATACAAAATGCAAATACTTTCCAAGTTCTGCTTATATAAGAAATTTTGGTGAGAATGCCTTCCTGCCAGTAAAACAAACCCTGTCCAGTGTGTGTGTGCACGCGTGCGTGCCCACACACATTATATATAATAAACCCTGATGCTACAGATTTAGTTGAGGAAATGTATCCACTTATTGGTATATTATTGGACAACCAGAGACCAGGATGGGAATAGTAAAAGGAGTCTCTGTATAAATCTAGATATAAATTTGAAGAACAGACTGGAGATGGGGGGATAGGGTTAAGAAAAGAATGTAATTTTTGGTTCTTTTCTTGCCCTCTCATCCACTTCACACTTTTCTGTGCGTAATGACCTATAAATTTTGTAGGCCTGAAGTTGTGTAGTACCTAGAGAGTAGACAAGAAATAGCAAAATTTGCCTTTTTATTTACCAGGCCCTTGAGCTCATACTTAGCTTGCCGTAGAGTAAAGGAATGGAATTCAGGTTTTATGTGGTGGGAGCAAACCCAGACGGACATATCGTTTGCTCCAGTTATGTCTTTCTGAACAAGCATGTTTCTTTCACACTTAAATTGCTCCTTGCTTGAATAGTGATTTTCATAACAGCACAGTATCATGCAATTCCGATACAAGAGATGGTAAATCCTTTCCTACGTGGTAACCTAACCATGTACAAGTGAATACTTAAAATATTAGCTATAAAAGTTTTGATCTGGAGCTCTGTTATAGCTGATGACATTTACGTGCAGGGGGATTATAGCTGAATAGTAAAAATAATTCCAACTTTATTTGAAGAGGCTATATTGGATCTCAATCACACTCAAGAGGTTGTGACTTTTAAAACAACTAGTGTATGACTGAGAAGAACTTAAATGTTTCCTATTCATAACTGTTTCCTTTATCTTATTCATCTTTTGGTGATTTTAAAGCCTTTTTTATAGATTTCCTTCTTAAGATTTCAAATTGTAGTGAAAAGCACTGAAATTCCTTTTGTTTTAAAATGAGAGTAACGTTATGTTATTTTGTTGGTTTTGCCTGATCAGCAACTATTTGTATTAGTTGACAGAACCAATTTGTTATCTTAAATGTCTTGCAATAAATTACAGACTGTTAGCACAAATGGAGTTATGTGATGAGCATTCAGACATTAATATTTCAATACACAAAAGTCTGGGGTTTATTTTTAGGCATTTTATGCATAGCTTGGAGACTTCTTTATTGTGTCTTTTGCTCTCCTCCATTAATTTCAAGTCACTTGAGTTTTAGCTTCATACCTTACAGTATAACACTGTTCAAGATATGATGAATGTTGTCCATAAATGCACTATGGTGTATTGTTGCTTAATCTAAATCAGTATGGAAATAAGTCTTCAGTTTTAAATGTTCTATTAGTATTAATAGCATTGCCCTTTCTCAGTAAGATGACCGTCTGCAGCAGCATGGTTGTAAAGTAATTATTTTAAAACATACTTTATACCGACTAAAAGTGCTGCTTGCTTTTTTTTGATGTTCTGAGCATTGCCTATATGGTGTATTGTTGCTTAATCTAAATCAGTATGGAAATAAGTCTTCAGTTTTAAATGTTCTATTAGTATTAATAGCATTGCCCTTTCTCAGTAAGATGACCGTCTGCAGCAGCATGGTTGTAAAGTAATTATTTTAAAACATACTTTATACCGACTAAAAGTGCTGCTTGCTTTTTTTTGATGTTCTGAGCATTGCCTATAAAGGTTTTGGTTTTAGTTCAGTCTCTTTACATGTGTTTCATCTCTTCTTTCTAGTACCGTATTCAAATAATAAAAAAGAATGAAGAGCAGTCTGAATTCTTTCAAACAGATACCGTGCTTCATTTCAACAGTTTACTTCACATACTTAAATGCATCCCTGTTCAGTACAGGGATTCTATGTGCCTATTCACAGGCACATTTAAGTCCAATTTACAATAATAAAACATAATTTATACCTGGGACTTCTGCTAAATTGAGACTATTCTCCTGCTAAATTGAGACTATTCTTCCAAATTATAAGCTTTGATTTTTTTTTTTTTTTTTTTTTTTTTTTTTATCCACCCCCCCTTGTCTGACAGCTGGAAAATATGCTATTCTTACTGCTTTATTTCACAGCCTCAATGTATTATGCAATCCTGACTCCAAAGCTGTTATGGTCTTTCTCGTTTTTGTGAAATCAGATGCTATCCTTAAGAGTGACACAAAGCATTACAGCGTAGATTAAGAAATTTATTTTTGTTTTTGTGGGGAAGGAGATAACATGGAGGGGAAACTGGTTTTGTGAGTCTCTTGTATAAATACAATACTGCAGAACGCTGAAATACGCTGAATCCTATTTGTTGTTGAACTTGCATAAAGACACAGTAATTTCCTACATTCAGTATAATGTACAGTTTTATAATTTCACTGTGAAATGGTATTAAGTCACTCAGGGCTAAAGGAAACAGCAATAGATTTTCTGTTATTCCTTGACAGATCACAGAGCTGTTGGATGTTTCAATGGAGCTGGGATGCTTCTTAGCCGGAGCTCTGATCTCTTCTCAGGGTCACATGGTTACTGAGGAGATTATGTCCTGTATTGAACCAATACGTGACTTCCTTGCCATCATTTTCTTTGCATCCATAGGTAACTTCTAAGAAAACTTACTTACAAAATAGTGTTAACCTACAAATGTGGGGGAGGATTAAAAAAATGGTGTCTGCAAATTGGGGGGGAAATTGGGGGGAGGAGATAGTTGGGGGTTTTTTTTTAACTTATTTATTTTTAAAT